TACTTAAGTACTTTTAAATGCAAGTACTTCTGTACTTTTACTTAAATAAAAATCTGCCTTTACAACTTTCACTTGTAATGGGGTGATATTTGACCAGCAGCATATGTACTTATTCACTCAAGTAATGGAGTTATGTACTTGTTCTGTGTTGTATTTTATGTGTTTGTCTGAGAATAACATTTGCATGCCATTAAATTGTAGCATGACGTCATAAAGCTGCATAGCCTAGTTGTTAATTTTTTTTAAGAGTTTTGTGTCAAAAAGTGTATTAATTTATTAAATGTTCTTACCTGCTCCGATCAAGTTTTGTTCTATTGGCGTCAGTTTCTTGTGGCTGCCCATTGCAAATCTGTCCCACACTATTTTTATTTGCTCTTGTTTCATCTCTTCCTCTTGCTCATTTGTTTTGTTCACCTTTTTTTCTTCTTGTTTTTCCTTTTCTATTCTGATCTTGGATCGAGGCTTTAAGTAAATATCATTATTGTAATACTGATGATTATTCTGTTTGATGAATTCATCAATCTTCTCTAGAAGCTCTGTGATATAAGTTAATTTAATCTCATTTTTACTGTTGATCACATGATAATTATCTCTGCAGTGACTGACCAACTCTTTAAATTTTGTATCAAGCATAAAGAGCATCCATTCCATCCTTGACATTTTTTTTCTTCCAAAAAAGAGCACTAATGTGAACCTCAAAGCTTGAGCTCCAAAGTTCTCCTGAATTTGCTCCACAATGTTCCTCTGCTCCTCTCTGAAGTTTTCCAGGTTGATGACGAGCAGGAACACTTGAGGACCAGGATGAGCGAGATACAGGCTGTTCATCATCTGCTGCTTCATCTCTTCATCAGTCAGTCGAGTGTTGAAGAATCCTGGAGTGTTGATGATGGAGATGTTTCTGTTTTCTACTTTTCCTGTCTGTATCTCACTCTTTCTGGTTCTGCTCTCTTTAAATGCCTCTCCACCCAGTATTGCATTTCCCAATGAACTTTTTCCAGCTCCAGAGACTCCCAGCAGCACGATCCTCAGATCATCACCTGAATCACCTGTCAAACAGTTCATGCTATTAGCTGGAGATATTGATGATTTATAAATGCTGATTCTAACATGTCTGATTTTCAAACCCAGTAATTTTATGCTATTTTGCCAGAGCAATTTGTTCACTCATGTGTTAAGATGTTACATTTGTCTTTGTACACAGTAAAACTTTTCACTGTAAATTGACAGTAATTAACTGGCAGCAGCTTCACCAATAATTTTCACCTATATTTTTAGTTTTTTTT